AAGATTGAGAATCACTGCTTCAGATTACAAAGTGCTTTCTCACATATTATCGAGGGTTTTGTACACCTAAAAAGAGGAAAAGGAAACGTTTGCAATGCCTGTTGACTATATAAGGAAGAGGAAGGGAAAGAGTAGTAATTGTGAAAATGAAAGGATTGCAGAAAAATAAGCTTCCAGAAATTGGAGGAAAAGCCCTCACCCTTGTAGGGCTAAAATTAGGGATGCTGGCTATCCATTGACTGTAGAACATGAAAGAGGAGCTTGTGTGGCCATACTTCCTGCTCTGTATGGACTGTTCTTGAGATGACAACAAAATTTCCTTCCCAGAGTCTGAAAACAGTCATCTAATATTTGATGTCTATTAGTTCCTAAAACCTTATTGAGTCCACTCTATAAATGAGAAATATTGGAGAAAACAAGAAAAACATTTGTTGATAGTCAAAAAGTATGTTAGAAAATATCATGTTAATATTTCCATGTCCATTTTGGAATGTGCACATGATCTGCGTGTATAGACAGAAAATGTGCCTCCACTGTGATCCTAACAGCTTTCAAATAGTTCTAATTAATAATTCCGCAGATGAAAGTGGCAATTAACAACCTTGGTTATAGCTGGAGGAGAAGTAGAGCCAATCCTGGGCTCTCAGGCTGGGGGGAAATAGAAGTCAAGTCACAGTGAGGCAGAAGAAAAGTAAGTTGTGATCAGGATATCAAATTTTAAGATTTTGGAAGTGGGTGATGACAAAGCTTAGGCTGCGACCAAGAGAGTGAGTGGCAGCTACTGTCAACAAAGTAAAGGCTAAGCTACCATCTCCCTGTCAACCAGTAGATGAAGAGGGACAGTACTTGAAGTGCAGAAAAGAAAATCTTCCAGACCCTAAATATTTAAGGTCAGGAGTCCCAATTAATGACCCCTCCTCATTCTAGTTTCCAACTCACAGAGAATGGCTAATAATAACAATAACCATAGTTCAGCACTTCCTACATGTCGGCATTGTTCTAAGCACCTTGAACACTGGTTTTGTGACAAGAGACACTATTAGGCCCATTTCACAGATGAGGAAATAGATGTAGGGTAAGCAATTTGCCCAATATGGGCTGTAAATGCTGGGGAGAAGTTGTAGACAGGGTTAGGGTGAGAGAATACTTTATGGAAAGTTAAGTTCAGCTGAAGAAGTGAACAAAATCCAGGAGGAGGCCTGCCTACCAGTGTGTCCTGCACACCAACAGATGCCGGGCTTTGTGTGGAGACCTGGTGAGAGATGAGTCTAAAATAACACACTGGGGCCATATTGAAGAGTTCTGAACACCAGTGCTCAGCGTTGGAACCTGATCTGGGAGGGAGGAAGGATGAAAAAAATGACATAATTAGCACTGTATCTTGAAATGATTAACTTTCGAATATGAACAAATTGGAGAGAAGCTGGAGTGAAAGGGATTACAGTAGAGTCCTTTTGGTCCTGATTATATGACAGATAATGAACATATGAACAGGGGGGTGTCAGCTGAAGGTTAGAGAAAGAGACAGGTTTGATAAATGTTGCAAAAGTCAAATGCAAAAATTTGGTAACTGGGTGGATGAAGGGTATGGGTGGGGGAAGAGGGGCAGAATGTAAAGAGAATCCGAGCTTTCAAGTTCAAGTCACTGCACGATTGGCAGAAATTCAGAAGAGTCACTTTGTGGGGTAAGAGGGACAGCATGAGTAGGTGGACTCTGGGAAATCTGTAATCTGCTGTGTGAGCAGGTCATCAAGGTGGGAGACCGCAGCAGGAAGTTGAAAACAAATCTGGAACTTAGAGGAGTGTGAGCTTGAAGTGAAGCTTTTGGTGTCATCCGCACGAAGGTGCTACGGTAAACCTGGGGAGCAGATGAAATCTCTGGAAGGGGGAAAAGGAAGCAAATAGAGAACAGATCCTTGGGAAATATTTAAATTTGGGGGCAAGGAAGAAGAGGAGCCAGCAAAGGAGACAGGGGGAGAGGTTAGCAGAAGGATAGGAATGTCTAGAAGTATGTATCACAGAACACAAGGGGATGGAAGGTTCCAGAAGAAAAAGCTGACTTAGCAAACCCTCAGAGAAACTCAGAAAAATTAAGCCATTAGGAGTTGTCAGTTGAAAGGTTATAAGGATCTGGAGGAGCCATAGGCTAGGAGGCGGCCTCGGGTGGGAAGGAGGGGGTAGAGCATAAGAGGCAAAGCAGGGCTGCGCTACCTTTGAAGAGTTTGAGGGTGAGGAAGAAAGGGAAGACCCAGGGGCTGGAAGGGCTAAGACATGTGAGGGAAGGTGTTTTGTCTGGTTCTTAAGTGAAAGGGCACCTGTTAAATCTATTTTAGAGATAAAGGAGCCACAGAGAGGGGTGAGTGAAGACGCATAGATACTGCCAGGTGGTAAAGCAAAAATAAGGAAGCAGCAAAAATATTTCCGTGGCAGAAAGCACAGCAGAATGAGGTCCTAAACTTCTTCAATCCTTATCATAAAACTCATCGGCGGGAGCAGCTCATGGAGCTGTCCTCCCTGACTCCCACGCGGCAATTCTCACAGAAATAGGGCAAGGGCCAATTAAGAGGTTTTCCCTCCTCCTCTGGTGGAATGCATGCATGTAATGCATGCATCCCAGGGCGGAGGGGAGAGGTAGCTCTCACTATCTACAGTCTTAAAAAGTAAAGTAACTTCCATCGACTCTAGGGAGAAGAAGAAATTTTGCTAATGAATTTGGGCTGGAAAATATTAGGATTTTCTTTGTATATGTACTATTAGATTGCATAATTTGCAGTTATGTGCAGGAGAAGGGAGGGCATTTTTCTCCCACGTTTTGGGAAAAAGAAAGAGTTAAATGCACTCAGGCACTCAGGCCTGAATGTCACTTCACTCACTCTGTATGAGGCAAAAGCTTCCCAGAAAAAGAAAAAAAAAAGGTACAAAAGCAAAAATACTGATAGTGGTTAACAAGTAACGTTAAGTAGGCTTTGACTGCTGTAGGTAGGCCTGGGTAGGACAATGCCGTAAAACATTCTGCAAACAATCGGCTCCATTGTCCTGTCCTTTCCTGTCAAGGTGGTGGCACTGGACACAGGACATCAGAAAGCAAAAGAGGAAGCAGAGAAGGAAACGGAGAGGCAGAGACTGAGTGTTCCTCGGGAATGGGCACAACCTCCCTCTTCTGGGGGATGGCTGGGCACCACGCCTGCCCCTGTGTATCCAGAAATGGTCCCTGGGGCCCCATCGCAGTCACATTGCTGCACAGCCCTGGGGCATGGAGAAGAGCTTGGGAGGTTGTTAGCACATCTCCCTCCGGAGATGAGACTGGGCTCGGCACCAACAAGAAAATACCAGAGGGGATTGTCTCTTCTCCATGCCTGGATAATGGCTATTCCCTGAGACCCAGGGAAGAATTAAATTCAACGTGGGCCTTGGGTGCACTTTATCACACACTCCATCCTGAACAGCTGGGCTGCTAGGATAATTTAAAAAGAAGAGAGAACTGGCTGTTCACCATAATAAGTCTCTCAATGAGGAGGTAGAAAGAGTTCCCATTTCTGTACAAGCCAAAGGAAGCAGAGCATTAGGCAAGTATCCTCTGAGTCTCATTAACAGAGACAACAAATACGGAAAATCCGGGGGGATTTGCTCCACATTTCTATTAGTAATGGCAATTTTTTTTTTTTACCTGAAATAGGCTAGTAATTTTCTCGCATGCAGAATTGACTTTGCCTAAGGATTAATAAATACGCTTTTTCTTTATAGTTACTAAGCATGTTCTAGAGACTACAAACAAAACATCACTGGTCGCCTTCTTTTTTTCTTCTTTTGCTTTATTTCTGAGAAGATAAGATAGTAAAGCCATCCCAGACTGATTTATTTTAAAGAACATGGAAATAATATGTATTTAAAATTGGGTCAAAAGAATAGATAATAGCCAGCTAGTATGAATTAAAAATTTGGTTCTAAAATGGGCAGTAATGGTTAAGAACGAAGCTGGTAGGGTCAAAAGAAGGGCAGTTTCCTCCTCGACTTATGCGGGATCCCCAGGGTCAGAGTCAGTCCCAGAGCTAAGCGCGTGATAATGGGTGCCGCTACATAAAAACCAATGACTGGTGAAAGATACCTGTTAAAGATCATTTTCACCTTGAGTAACTACTGAAGTGTTTTTCTCACCATAGTTAGAACTCTGTCTCTTGTGGTCTCTCAGACTTCGTAACAATAAGATCATCTCAGTGTCTGGGTGGATAACTACCTTCTTTTCTTTCAGGCGGAGGAAAGGAATGTACATTTGCCCATTTAAGAGCAGATTTGGCTTATTAAGATATGTGTCCAGAAAGAAGGCCATCTGTGTAAGCTGTGTTGGGCTTTTAAAAATGATGACCTGACTTGTCAAGAAGTCATTCCAACTGACTCAGGTTTTCACGATAGTAAAATAGTGTTTGTACAATAGCATAAAAAATAGTATACAAAATAGCAGTGTGTTTTTTTTTTTAAATCTGCCTTTCCTAGAACATAAATGCCTGTCCCAGAATTCGACTGCACGAATAAAGCGGATATGGTGGCATCAAGTGTTCTCCCGTAAGAGGCACTTAGGCAACCTCCAGGTTGTCTTCTTATGAATATTCTTCAGCAGACATCTTTGTTTTCCCACCATTAATGTATTTCCTCAGAAGAGCTTTCCGTGAAATGAAATCACTAGATCAAGTCGTATGAATATTTTAAAGCTCCTCTTTCCAAACCCGTTTCTAAGGAGCTTTCCAAAAGGGTATTTATTAATTCACCTTACACTAGTCATATGTGAGAATTAGAGCTGTATTCCAGACTTACTGAGCTGCTAATAAGACCACATTACTTTTATTTGCGCTTCTTTCTAGTCTAGCGAGTTTGAAAACTTTTGCAAGAATTCGCTGACATTTTCGTGTGTGTATTTGCTAATTGTTTGCTGCTTCCTGATGGGCGGGTTTATCCTTCCCAGCGCCGGTCTCACCTGCTTTCCCCACGTTTGTTGCTCCGCACAGGCTCCCATGATTCGTTCAGCTACTGGGTAGATGAGAAGTCCCCAGTGGGGCCCGACCAAACTGCAGCCATCAAACGCCTGGCCAGGATCTCCTTGGTGAAGAAGCTCATGAAAAAATGGTCTGTGACGCAGAACCTGACGTTCCGGGAGCAACTGGAAGCTGGCATCCGCTACTTCGACCTGCGTGTGTCTTCCAAACCCGGGGATGCCGACCAGGAGATCTACTTCATTCACGGACTTTTTGGCATCAAGGTCTGGGACGGGCTGATGGAGATTGACTCATTTCTCACCCAACACCCCCAAGAGATTGTCTTCCTAGATTTCAACCACTTCTACGCCATGGATGAGGCCCACCACAAACGCCTGGTTCTCCGGATCCAGGAGGCCTTTGGAAACAAGCTGTGCTCTGCCTGCCGTGTGGAGAGCATGACGCTGCGAGCCCTGTGGGAGAAGAAGTGCCAGGTGAGAGGAGACAGACCCGCTTACAAGGGCAAGGGCAAGGGCAAGGGCAACAACGGAACTCTGCCACCTTTTCTGTCTCAGCGGCTGGAAGCTCCTTGCAGCTCACCGCAGGGCTCTTAGGCTAGAAGGCAAAGATTATTTGGAGTGTTAAACAGACACACCTGAGTCCTGGGCTCTTGGATAGCTTCAAACTCTAGGATATGCACACCAGTTCCTGGGCACCGGTGAACTGGGATTAACACCTGCCGAATAGTTACAATTGGTTGGGCAGCCTGTTGGAAGCATCTGAATTGACTTGGAGTGGCCTGGCCAGAACCAGCCCAAGGCAACTTTGTGAAATTGGACCAGTTGGTGATTGCCATTTTTTTCTGATCTCCCATAGAATCCTTTCTCAGGCTCCTACTTCCCCTCAGGGATAGGTGGGCCCATCCTGCCTTGAACTCAATGTCAGATAATCCCTGCAGGGGCTGACAAAAGCATGTAAGTGATTCATCTCAGAGGTGTTAACATTTTAAATCTTAACAGATCTGGGGGCCTGGCCTGAGAGATTGAAGGAGGATCCAGGCCGGAGAGCATTTCCAGGTCCCCTAAGCTTAGAAGAGCCCCCAAACGGAGGCCTTGAGGGATAGACTCAAGAAAAGGAATGTGGGCCTCGGATACATGCTGCTCCAATCCCACAGGATGAAAGACTGTGGGAGAGAAGAGCTTCAGGAAAGGCCAGCCTCCGATTTAGACTCGCTTTAAAAAAAGAAAGAAAGCAAGTCCCTTTTTTTATTCATAGTTGCTCACTTACTCAAAGATACATTAACCAAAGCATCTTAAAGAGGCATCTATTTTTGAACTTGGGGAAGAGCTTTCAATTAAAAATCAATTAAAGATTATTCACTTGCAAATATTCATTGAGCACCAAGTGTGTGCCAAGCACCGGTCCAAGCACTTGGGATAAATTAGTAAATAAAACAAAGATCCTTGCCTTCATGGAGCTTTCATTCAGGTCTAAGAAATAGATCATAGATAATTGCCATAATAAATACGATACATAAAATGCTAGAAAGTGATATGAGCGATGAAAACAGAAAGGTAAGCATGGTTAGGAAGAACCAGCGTTCTTTGGGTTGGAGGGTTGGTCTCAGTTTTAAATAGGTTGATGAGGGTAGACGTTCGAAGGAGTTAATGGAGTAAATCGTGTGGCTGTTCGGGGAAGAGCTTTCCCAGCTGAGGAACCCGCCAGTGCCTGGTTCTGTTTGAGCCGAAGCAGGGGCCGTGGGGCTGGAGAGCAGAGCGGCGGGAGGAGGTCAGAGGTCATGGGTGATGCGGTGGGAACTCAGGCTTTCTCTCTGAGCGAGGAAGGTTCTGGGAGGGTTCTGAGTACGCGGTGCTGTGTCCTGAATTACACGGTAATAGGATATCCTTGGCTGCTAGGAAGAAAGCAGGGGAGGAGGGCAGGGAAAGGAGGGGAGCCAGTGAGGAGTACTAGTGGGAAAAGTGGTCAGATTTGGGATCTATCAGAACTTAGAGCCAACGGGGTTTTCCAATGGATGGGATTTGGGGCACAAAAGAAACAGGCTCCAGGGATGACTCCCAGGTTTGGCCTGAGTAACTGGAAACCCCAGGTGGTTTTGCACACCTCTGAAAGGGCTAATGCCTTTGACACCACAGAGGCTAACGAGTTAGCTGTCGGTATCTGTTAAAATTTAAGCCACTTTTCCTCACTAAAACTTTGTAAATGATGTTTTGCCAAATATTTATCACACCTCTGCCCCTAACCTGGGTTGATATCTTTTCAGACTCACAGGTCTAATTTGGAGATTTTTTTTTTCTCAGTGGAGTCTCTCTTACAATATGAGATAATAGTAATAACAAGGGCACCTTAACAGCTAACCTTTACTGAGCCTTTACACTGTGTTAGGTACCCGGATTAGCACATTTAATCCTCTCCACAACCCTATGAGATAGGTGTTTTGTTATTATCCTCATTTTACCAATGAGTAAACTGAGGCATGGAGAGACGAAGCGACTTACCTGAGAGAACATTCCTAGTGAGTGGCAAGAGCCAAATTGAGTCATAGGCTGTTTGGCTCCGTAGAGCTCCCACAGCTTCTGATGCTACCCCAGGGCTGTCCCCTCATCTTGGTGGTTTTCACAACTAGGAGCAGAGATTATGCTAATAAAAACACCTTCTCCTTGTTCATGAGCCCTTATTATCAGAGGGTCTCAGAGGTTTCACAGAACGGAATAAAGGGCTGGAGATCTGTAAGAGGGCTTTTGAATGTGCGATTCAGGTAAGGTTAAATCTCAGTACAGCTAAGTTTGACAATCAGATATCTGTTATAAATATAGTTTTATAATTTTGCGCACAGATAGTGTCCTGAATGGACTTGCCATAGTGCATACCAAATTGTTCGGAAGTCTGCAGGAGTAACAGGTGTCTTCAGGAATAATGATGAGGGGGGACAGTGAATTTCTAGCAGCAGAGTGATGAGCTATCCTTGTTTTTAAGTATGGACTGATCTGTGTCTTCCAACTACAGCTACTCTGAAAATTATGAAGGAAAGACACTGTGATGACCTGTCAGAAAAAGGGAGTGTCATCCATTTGCTCTTCTTGCTTTCCCCTGTTTTTCCCTACCATGTCTCTTCTTAAAAGCTAAACAGACCTCACAGTCATCAGTGATCTACCCCCTGCTGGGGGCAGGGCCCTCCTGGTGGTTACACTTTAAATATTCATTATGTAATGAGCTGCCTTGCGTGGAACCCCCTGAGTATTTTATCACTACAGTTTCATAGCAAGAAGTGTACTACCATTCAGTCAAATTTCATTTACTCAACAATTACATCACAGCTCACCGACAGTTGTGCATCGCAGTTATGGGTTTGGAGGTACAATGAATTAGAAGATTTCTTCTACGGTTTGGCAGTGTTTTGAATCTTAATGAGAAGGGAGGAGTCCATAACACTCATAAAATACAAAACAACCCCTACACAATTGCAAGATAAAACTGCCTCAAATGTACTATATGAAGGAAGGGGTTTGTAAGCAATCAGTTAAAAAATAGCACATAGCATAAATCTATAGTCCAGGAGCCCCCAGGAAAGGACCCATCAGAATAAGAGGAAGTCAGTCGAGGAATAATTTTCAAAAGAAAGTAGATTTCAAATCTGAGTCTCCAGAGAGAAACTGAACATAAATTGCTGAGCTGGAGGGGAGAGTTGGATTTCAGAGAAAAATATAGCAGAGCGAGGTAGGGCAGGTGCAAAACACAGGCCCTAGGGCAAGAGTGACTGCCCCTAGAATCCCATGGAATAACAGTTGGTTTGCTGGACCAACATCCTCGTGTGACCAGAAATTCTCCTTCTAACCCTTATGGTCAGACTGCGCAGGCGCTTGAGGAAAGGCCTAGAGCCCCTTTTGTACAATGTGTCCTATTTGCACCTTTTCTAGGGCAGAGTAAAGAACAGCACTGCCACTGCTCGGGGCCCCGGCAGCTCTGAAAGCCTGCCCTGACAGGGAAGGATCACACAGCCTCCCGCCTCTGCCACCGTCCATTCCACAAGACAGCTTGCCTCCCTTTCGGAGGCAGGAGACCCCAGGCTCCCAGCTAGCCAATTACCCCGCCGGCAGGGAATCCTCCCAATCTCCCCGACAATCTGCTTACTCTGAGCCTGTGATTAACCTCATTAGCACACGTGTTTACCACGGGCATCCTTAGCAGTCAGTCAGACATTACTCAACACCATTAAAAACAACAAGATAACTATTTACCTGTTGGGTGCATCCAGCCTGACGCGCCCAAGCTCCGGGCCCGCAGGAGCAGTTTGTCATGCACCTTAGTCATGAGCGCAACATACTCGAGACCAGACACACATTCAGAGCCCTGCTTCTCAGGTGCCTGGAGCATTATGCTCTCAGGCCAGCTATCTGAGGATTGCAGTCCAGGGAGTGTAAACACGCTGGACATTCCTTCAGGAAGAGATTACTGGTGCTTGGGAGCAGGGAAAATATACTACTTCTAGAATCTAAGCAGCAGAGCCCTGAATTGGGACAATCAAAATAGCAACTCCCCATCCCTCGGCTGCCTGTCAGAAACTAATTAATGCTGTGGCTATGGCTTACTAATTATTTTCAAAATCACCACCAGCCCTGAGAGGTCCCACTGGAGACCCATCGCCTTCTGGAAGTCTGCCCTGCCTGGAGTAGCGCCCTCCCACCCCCTCCTAGGAAGGGTTATTCATTCAGTCAGCTTGGCTCGTGTGATTGAAACTCAGGGTACTCCCAGATTAGTGCAAGGTGTTGGTCTCAAACCCAGGAGCGTCAGTCTCCTGAGCGTAGGACTCATACCATGTAGACAACTCTGAGCCCCAGGGAGCCACAGGGCTCTCCCCAAGGGGAGGGGCATGGGTAGGATTGAAGCAGTCTGTGAATTTGGATGGGAAAAATCTACATATTTATTACCTCTCACCTCTAACTGAAAATTCATATACCCACGGTATCGGCCCTACCTGTGATTTCGTCACCATAGAAATTACAGGTATTTCCATATCACATTTCAGTTATTTGAAATACCATTTACTCATCATTAACTCAAAATGATGGAACTTATTAGACTTAAAACAAAATACTTTTATTTAATGTATTTATTATGAAGCATGTACACTCATTTATTACAAATTTAATAATATATTGATAGCTATATTTTGGTCTCATTGATTTCCTTTGTAATCCTGTCTATTTTATTTTATACATTCATTTAAAATGCAGTCTGAGAAGGGGTTCGGGATTTTACCATACTTGCAGAGGTGTTCACGATAAAAATAAAGAATTTTCAAGTTCAGACATACACAAGTGCTTAAATCTTTGCTTACTGATTTCTCTAAATATACATATACATAAAATTCTTGAATTTCTACATGCTTATACTTGTTTGCCTTTGATCCTAGCAATCAGGGCAAAGCCAAGGAATTAACATTCAGCTAATTCATCAGTTGTTCTCCTTTTTCTGTTTTGAATGTTTCAGGTTCTTATTTTCTATCACTGTCCCTTCTACAAGCAATACCCCTTCCTGTGGCCTGGAAAGAAGATCCCAGCGCCCTGGGCAAACACCACAAGTGTGAGCAAACTCATCCTCTTCTTGGAGACCACTCTGAGTGAGCGGGCCCCGCGCGGCTCCTTCCACGTCTCTCAAGCGATTCTCACCCCCAGAGTGAAAACCATTGCCCGAGGCCTGGTTGGTGGCCTCAAGAATACTCTGGTTCATAGGTAAGAATTTGCTTCTACCCCACAAGTAAGGTTTATGGTTTGTTTTTTGTTTTTTTTAAAGATTTTATTTATTTATTTGAGGGAGAGAGTGAGAAGAGAGAGAGCACATGAGAGGGAAGAGGGTCAGAGGGAGAAGCAGATTCCCGGCTGAGCAGGGAGCCCGATGCGGGACTCGATCCTGGGACTCCAGGATCATGACCTGAGCCGAAGGCAGTCGCTTAACCAACTGAGCCACCCAGGTGCCCTGTTTGTTTTTTAAAGAAAACTTATCTTGATTCTCTTCTGAATAAACAGCAGTAAAATCATATAGTTTGAAGATTTTAGGATAACAAAACAAAAAACCTTATATTTGAAAAAGCTGTGCATTTGAGGCGGTTTGCATTAAACGTGGCCAAAGGGCCTCTAAATACTTTGTTAAAATATCTAGTAGACCGTAAGTATTCTCTGAACTTTGATGCTCAGGCAAAGCGCTTTAAGCCAATGGCAGTGTGTTCACTTCTGGTGTGTGATCACATCCCATACTTGCCCCCGCCTTTCAGCTGGCCCAAGTACTCACTCATTTAAAAAGCATTAAATGAGAAGAGCTGTGCCAGGTGCTAGGGATTCAGAGGTGACCTGCAAAGGTTTGTCCCTTCCATAGCGATGTTGAGTCCTGAGAAGCAGCTTCGGATGGTACCTGCAGCACCATAGTTTAACACACTTCCTCAGAGCAGAATGGATTCTGACTGCACCGTTAGGCAGGAGAAGCTCCAGATATTTTATATTCGATGATATTCTTTATCAAGGACACCACAAATGATAGATGTCATCAAGAAAAAGCGTGACTTGCATATCTGTACACATATGTGTGCATGCCTGTCGATGTGGCTAAAGGGAATATTATCAGTACACTTGGAGAACAGGGCATCCTCCCAATCCAAGCTGAGGAAACGAATATGTTTGGATAACAAGGGCTATTTACAGGACTCGCTTCGGTTCCTGAGTTCCAGGTGGTAAGTACCAGTATTTAGGTAGTGAAAGATTCTTCCAAAAATGTGTCTCTGCCTATCTGGTTCTGAGTTTGGATAGCATCACTCCAGATAACAGGAGTGCATCTGGCAAGAGTTCAGATAGCAAGAAGCACCTGAACTTTTATTTCCTGGTGAAAACTCCTACTTATCTTGGCCATAAACAAAACCAGAAACCCTTACTGTGGGGCTCGACTCAGTTCTGACTGAATTACTTATGTTGAACTTGGAAAAGAGAATGTCATAAAGCAGTGCTGTAGCTCGGAAAGGTCCAGAATGACAAACTTCCTTGTTTTATATGTTCATGTAACACACCATTTTCCTCATGTGGTTGGCAAACTTGTAGATTAATATTATTCACTTATTCATTCATTCATTCAACAAAAAAGATTGAGTACTTAGGAGGAGCTAGGTCTAAAGATACAAGGGAAACAATAGAGTCTCTGTCCTCATGGAACTTAAGTCAGTCAGGAAAAATAAACATGTACATTTCTGTAAAGCAGTATGAAAATAACATAATAAAGTCTGTGCAGAGAGTTGTACTAATAAAGGAGAGAGTATTTAAAAATCAGGATAAGTTATATCTGTATACTGTATTTAGAATATAAATTACCCTCTTGCAGACGATTTCATTTGATTCTTAAATCAAGCCAGCCTCCAGGTCTAGAGCGCATTATTGCCCCCATTTCAGCTGGGACTCAGTAAGGTTAAGCGACCCAGACGCACATAGCTGGTAAGAGTCAATAATATGCTCTAACTCTGGACTTCTGACTGTTGTGCTGTTGCCCTTTTCCATATGCACCACTGACTTGAATATAGCGTATTTCATCGCTCCGCTCCTTTCTGCTCCACTGACCTGTAATTGTCTTACTGGTCCCTGAATCTGGTCAGATCTTCCTGGTTACAGCTGTGAACCCACAAAGTCACAATGCTTTTCATACCTGTAAATTCCTAGAACTTTAATCTGGCTGTAAAGGAAGCACAAAGCTTTCACTTAGTGATAATGATGGCGGCATGTGCCCAAAGCAAAGGGATCCTAGCATGCCAGAGCCCTCGCTGGTGGCAAGCGGATGTCTCAAGGCTGGAGAGATACTTGGGCCTCTCCACTCTGCTGGTCTCAAGAATATTACAGGGATGCAGCATGCATTCCTAGGCCTCCACATCCACTGAAGGGAGAAACAAAGTCAAGAGTTTGTTCCCAAACACCAGCAGGACGAGTGGCTGTCGTTTCCTCTGGGCAATTGAACAAGCGTAGGAGAGAAGCATTTCTAACACCCAAGAGCTCTGTCCTAACTGAAGTACAAGGGGTACTCTCAGACTGGTTCCTGAGCACTGGTTACCAGCTTAACCAAGAGGAAAAAGATCAGATAGGTATATTTTCCCACAGTTGTAGAGGTGATTTTTTTTTTCAGCAGGAAGTTAACCTAACTCTTAGGTGAAACTTTGGACCTAAGATCTTGTTTGCTTTGGTTCATCACCCTGAAAGGAAGCCATGAAAAAGAGCCATTCTGACTGAATTTCTATGGTAGATTTCCCTAGATTCTTAGAAACCTCCCACTGAAATCAAATGAAAGCAAGATTTGCCTAAGTTCCAGGACAGATTTGCCTAAGTTCAAGGAACAGCCATGGAGCCATAGAAGGGGACACAGACTGAAGTCAGAAGCCTGAGACTGAAGCCTGATCTGATCCCTGTTATGGGCTGAATTCTGTTCCCTGGAAATTCGTATGTTGAAGCCCTAGGCCCCAGTATCTCAGGATGTAGCCATTGGAGATTGGGTCTTTAAAGAGGTGACTAAGTTAAAATGAGGCCATTAGGGTTGGCCCTAATCCAGTCTGACTGGTGTCCTTATAAAAGGAGGAAATTTGGACATGCAAAGAGACCCCAGGGTTGTGTGTGCTCAGAGAAAAGGTGACATGAGGACACAGCAAGAAGGCAGCCATCTACCAGCCAAGGAGAGAAACCTCAGAAGAACCCAAACCTGCCAACATCTCGATCTTGGACTCCCAGTCTTAGAACTGTGAGAAAATACATTTTTGTTGTTGAAGTCACCCAGTCTGGCATTTTCTATGGCAGCCCTAGCACACCAATGTAGTCTCTTAACAGGGTGGCCTGGTCAAATTTCCTGAGCTCTCTGAGCTGTCTCTTTCCCGCCTCTTAAAGGATTAATATGACTGCACAAAACTGTAGAGTCTTAGCATGAAAATGCCTACCACAGTGACTGGCACAAAATAGGCACGCCATCTCTGTCTGTAAAGAAACCCAAGAACACAGAGGGTCAGGCTGCTTCTCAGTGGGCTTCAAAGGCAAAGGGAAGTTTCAAACCGACTGCTCTGCTTATGGGACCTGGTGCTTCACAGGCCTGTTGGCAATATCTGGCTCAGCCGTCTGCACTCATCTCTCCTTGCTAAAGGCCAGGAGTTAAGAAAATAAAGCGGCTTCTCCTCACAGGGAGTTCTACATTTTCCTGTCCTTGTACGTAATCCTGGTTATTTGATCCTTGCCTTGAGGAAGGTTGATACGTGCAACCTGAAGCTGACATAGAGCTCTTTGTCACCGGAGACCGCAGGTGGATGCCTTTCCCACATTTCTCTGCTCAGGCTCCAGGGATCCCCTGGAGTTGCTACCAAGCCTTTAGTTCTCATTTCCCCATGATGACCAGAAGATGGCGCCAACATTTCATACCTAAACACTGACTAGGGGATTTTTTTTTTTTTTTCTTTTAAGAAAGCTCTGCACCCAATGTGGGGCTTGAACTCATGACCCTGAGATCAGGAGTCATCATTGCTCTACTGACTGAACTACCCAGGCGCCCCCTGGCTAGTGGATTTTAAAAAAGAAGTATTGGGGCACCCAGGTGGCAGTCAGTTGAGCGTCTGACTCTTGGTTTTGGCTCACATTGTCGTCTTAGGATTGTGATCTCAGGTGGTGGGATGGAGCCCCTAGTGGGGCTCTGCGCTCAGCTCAGAGTCTGCTTGAGATTCTCTCTGCCCCCCAGTCTGTGCGTGTGTGTGTGTGTGTCTAAAATAAATAAATCTTTAAAAAATAAAATAAAGTAAAAGAAAAAGAAGTCTTGAATGGGTCAGGCTCAGGACTATAGCGGCCTTCTTGTGGGCCACTGTGTATTCCAGGTCTCTATCGCCAAGGGAAGACTACTTGTGGCACTTCGTTCTTGGCCTTCAGCTATCTCTACCCTACACTCTAGCATGTATGATTTCTTCTCTCGCGCCAAACACTCACGTAGTGCTTGCTATATCCCAGGCAAAGCTAAGCACTTCACCTATGTTACCTTATTTAATTCCCCCTCCCCAAAATCTACATGAGATAAATAGTAGTTTTATGCCCATTTTACAGGGGGAGAGACTGAGGCAGGAAGAAATTGAATAAGTTAAGGTCAAATTGAGGTTATTAAATCTTTGGGAGACCCGGTTAAAAATGGACTTACTCCTGTGATGGCAGCTTATTAAATCCTAATTAACCTACTAACATAAAAATGCAAATTGGTTTAGGAGATGCGTTTTATAGCCCATGGCCAGTTCTTGAGTCCACTGAGTGAGGGGAGTGCCCCAGGACTGATCATTGTTTTCGTGAGAAGAGGCAAAGAAATGCTAGCAAGGCCTGGACAGGGTCATCTAGGGGATTGAGAGGTCAGGGGTATGCTCAAAGCAGGGGGCAGCTTGGAAAGAGAAGATGACAACCAAGGAGGTCGTCACCAGAGGAAGAGAAAGGGGGCCCTCAAGATAAAAGTGTTTTTATTTTTGACCCCCTGGAGCAAATCCTTCCTAAAAAGTCTCCAGTCCCAGGATGGCTGGGTGGCTCGGTTGGTTAAGTGTCTGCCTTTGGCTCAGGTCATGATCCCAGGGTTCTGGGATCGAGCCCTGCATCGGGCTCCCTGCTCGGCGGGGAGCCAGCTTCTCCCTCTGCCTCTGCTCCCCACCTCCCCACCCCTGCTCTTGCTCGCGGTCTCTCAAATAAATAAATAAAATCTTAAGAAAAAAATCTCATCCCTTAACCAAATCATAAGCTATGGGTTGTGTCTTCCTTAACATCTCCCCGGATGCCAGACTGTGCAGTACACTTCACTTCGCCCTCGCCTCTACCCTCCATGGTATTTACATTTCCTGCTAATACAGAAGGTATCACATTAAATTGTTGTCATTTGTTGATGTCACTAAATGATGAGCTGCTTCGGGCAAAACATTTCTGGATATCACATGGAAAATCCTTGAATTGTAAAGTGTGACCAACCGACTGTGTTTGTGAGACCACTGAGTAAGCAGTGGTCCATTAAGAAGCCACTCATACTTCTGGAATGCTATATCCGTATGGGAGAAGTGAACCCCACCCCCCCTGCTTCATACCATATATAAAAATTAGCTTGAGATAGATTTTGGATCTAACAGGAAAGCTAAAGCCATATGCTTAAAGAAGAAAACAGGAAGACATTTTTGTGACTTGGGACTAAGCAAAAGTTTCCTAGATAGATCACAGAAATTATAAAAAAAAAAAAAAAAAGAATTTAAGGAATTGAGCTCACCAAAATATGCCATTAATAAAATTAGTAGACAAGCTATAAGCAAGGTTAAAATATCAAAAAGTATATCCAAGAAAAGACTAGTGTCTAGAATATATAAATAATTTCTACAACTCAACAATTAAAAGAAAGAGAAAAAAAAGAAAAGAAGGGGTAAAAATTGAGCAGGTACTTTCCGAAGCAGACATACAAATGGCCAATAAGTACATTACAAACGGCTCAGCCTTATTAGTCATCAGAAGAATGCAAATTAAAACACTTAGATATCTTTACATACCCGCTAGAATGGCTAAAATTAAGAAGACTGTGCCAAATTTTGGAGAGGCTCTGAAGCAACCAGGACTCTCACACTTTGTTGATGGGATTATATAATGGAACAACCTCTTTGGGAAAAGATCTGGAAGTTTCTTATAAAACTAAATGTAAGCCTACCATGTAGTAAAGGAATTTTAGTCCTTGATATTTATCCAAAAGAAATGAAAATAAATGTCCACAAAAAGACTTAGATAAGAATGCCCATAACAGTTTTAGCCATAATATCCAAAAATGAGCAATATCCCATTTATTCATGAGTAAGAAAATGGATAAACAAACTACCGTATATTCATGCAGTGAAATAGTGCGGTGATTAAAATGAAGAACAAGCTGCTGATGTATGCAACAACATGGATGGATTCCAAAACCATAATGCTGAGTGAAAGAACCTCACACAAAAGAATACATACTGCATGAACTCACATGAAGTTCTAGAACAGGCAAATGTTTTTTTTAAAGACTTTATTTGACAGAGAGAGACATAGTGAAAGAGGGAACACAAGCAGGGGGAGTGGGAGAGGGAGAAGCAGGCTTCCCGCAGAGCAGAGAGCCCGATGCAGGGCTCGATCCCAGGACCCTGGGATCATGACCTGAGCCAAAGGCAGGTGCTTAACGACTGAACCACCCAGGTGCCCCCTAGAACAGGCAAATTTAATCAGTGGTAGAAAAAAAAATGAGGATAATTGTTGCCCCTGGGAGGATGCAGGCAGGGATTGATGGGGAAGGTACATGCAGGAACCTTCCGGGGTGCTGGTAATGTTCTGTCCCTTGATAATGGGTGTACATTACGTACATACATTTGTCACAACTCAACTAGTGTACACTTAAGATTTGCCCATTTTATTGGATGCGAGTTTATGTCAAAAGAAAAATTAAAACAAATATTGAGTCCTGGTTAATGATATGCATACTAGGGTATTTGGGGCATGTGTATAGCTGTTTGCCATTGGAATTTGTCAAAAATATAAGATGTTTTGATAGAAGGATAGCGTGTTGGGTGGATGGACAGCTATGTGGCAAGCACGTACTATAAAATGTTAGTGGTAGAAGCTAGGTGGTGCATGCACTGCCCGTAAATTTCTTTCAGCGTTGCAATATGTTTGAAAATTTTCGTGATAAAAAAAATTAGAGAACCTACCAATAATTAAGCTCTCAATCTTAGTGTTTCAAGGTCCTACTGACATGGTTATCTCTTTGGTGCTTGAGGCAGATAATCTCCTCTTCCAGAGCAGAAACCCTGAAAGTGTAGTTCTCTGTTGGAATAGACATCACTTCATCCTTGAAAGAGATCTACAGCTCCAACGGACGAACTGTGGGGGACTAGTGCTTTTATTGGCGTACTTTTGTTACACGAATGGAAATGTCTTGTTTCCATTTCTGGAAGAGTCCTTTTCAACTCTGCTCTCTGTCCTGTCTTCTGTGTAGGAATCTTCCTGCCATCCTGGACTGGGTGAAGACTCAGAAGCCCGGAGCCATGGGTGTCAACATCATCACATCTGACTTCGTGGACCTGGTGGACTTCGCCACGACTGTCATTGAATTGAATGACCTCCTCCAGGAGGACAGAGCTTTGGCTAAATGCTGATTTGGTTTTTATTTCAATGTTGACTTTGTTGATCCAGGCCAGAGTTCTGAAGGGTTTCCTGTTAGGACAGCCCCTGGGCAGTGATGGGGAAGGAGGAGGAGGGCAGTTTCCCCTCTTCATAGGGCCATTTGGATAAAATTACAGAGCTTTTAATTGCATTTTTCCCAAATGAGACTTCTAAAAAACCTGAAGTCCAAGGGAAGAAGCATGTTTCATGTGATCAAAGTTAGGGTCTCCCCAGTGGCTCATGATGTGGAATGTAACATGGAAAGGGGGTCTCCAGCTTCCTTCGAGTGTCTCTGAATTGGCCCGGTTTCCTGCTGTCTGCCAGGATGTTGTATGCGAGCCAGTGAGAAGACTGAACCAGAAACGCATTCTTAGGCAAAAGAATGGCTCGTGGCAGGTGTGGAAGGCCCCGTGGGTGGCTCTAACATCAACCTGGGGCTTTGAGGGAGAAAAGGGCCAGGCACCACTTCTCTCTGGCATGTCGAATGTCACCACTTCTTCCCTGAAAGAGTAAGACTTCTTGATCACCAGACCATTCCAGCCACAAGCTGTTCTTGCATAGCTGCTGCTTGGGAACTGGGCACCTGCGTTCTTTGGATAAACCGTGCATATTGCCTGTGGTATCAGAAATGTGTTTCCCAGTTGTAAAACATTGATTCCTTTCCATTTCTATTGGCCCCTTCTTAAAAGTGAAAGGAACAACGGTGGGGGATCTTTTCAGTGTGGGGCCCAACAGGAAATAGATATGCATGTTTGCTGCATGCCGCGCATGCCGCATTTCTTTGGTTTTAATCCTATAAGCTTTTCCCAAAATGGCTGCCAGGTAACCTCCTGCATCATTTTGGCAAAGTCCTCTTTGGAATGGGATCTTCAAGCCAGATCTTGGAATTGCATTTCATTGCTGCCTGCTGAGGACCCGGGTCTGTGCTGTGTCGCGTAAGGTATAACGCTACCGGAAGGCACCCTATCGTGGCGCTGGGGAGGCAGCCGCGGGATGCGTGGGCAAGTGCAATGGATTTAAGGAGGAAGCTCCGAGTGGGTTTGGAGCTGTTCTGTAACTTCTTGAAAACCAGACTACCTCGGGAACATTCAGGATGACTTGCGTGTCATCATCAAGTGAATGAGACCCAGTGCTGGAACGTTTCCAGTTTGCATCTCAATTGTTCTACTTTCTGCAGGTTGTTTTGGGCCTGCTAATCACCCCTGCAGGAGGGCTGTGAAACTCAAGAGGGGATTTTGGGTTTTGTTTTGTTTTTTTAATTGGTAAGAGGTACTTATCTAGAAAGAGCCCTCTTGTGTTTTTATTTATTTATTTATCCATTTATTTATTTATAGATTAAGTATCTTCAGTGCGTCTTACCTCAAGAGCACTCACAAAGGCGCTTCCTGAACTTTTCTCACCCAGGCCCAACGCCGCCCTGATCTTCAACAGGCCGGTGCGTTTCAGGACTGTGAGTGACCTCTGACTGGGCCGGGAATGTTCCCAGCTCCCCCAGGCCTGTCGGGACAGTGTGCATTGCGTGGGTGTGGTCCAGAGCTGAGAAGCCCCTGGCAGGCCACGCACAGGGCCAGAGGATGCAATGGGTCACGAAGAACTCTCAGTTCTTGAGGGAGAATCTCTAGTAGAAGGTCAGAAAGGAAGGATCTGGAAAGAAAACGGGGCATGTGAGTGTGTACGCGCCGATGCCCCTCAGAACTGTCTGAGGATCCCTAAGGAAATGCCAGCCTCTGGATTCTTAAGGCAGATAAACATGGACTCCTGGACGGGTGTGTGTGTGTGTGTGTGTGTGTGTGTGCGTGCGTGTGTGTGTGCGTGCGTGTGTGTGTCAGTCATTAGGCCACCTCCCAGCGGCTCCCCTGCCGGTGCTCAGGCTGTGCAGCGGTGGGCACCTGGGGTGAGCTGCCAAAAGCACACGCGCACGCCCAGCTCGCGCTCTTCCAGCCTCTCTGTAAAGTCGGTTCATCCCTGACCTTTAGCTCCCACGGCTGGAGGGGGATCACAACACAAATGCCTCTGGGAAAATCTGGCTTAACTTTTCCTGTTCTTGCATTTGAAACCCCCGTCCGAGAGGTTTCTGGGATTGTGCTGTCCATTTTTTAGGGCCTTCTCTGGAAAAGAGTAAGAAAGGAAGTGCCCTCGCTTTCTCAGTCGTTCCTCAATTCTGCTGTTAAACCCCAGTGACAAGCTCTGAAATCCCGGGCCTACCCTCAGGGTTTTGTGTCATTATTGTTTCATTTTGGTCTTATTTTTAACTCTTGGTCCATTGCTAGGGACTAGATCGGCTCCCCTCTTTTAACTCTCTGTTACTTGGCAAAGAGATCAGGAGGCAAGAGGAGAATTATTCCTGCTCTCTTTTATTTGAGCCTCATCTTTGTCCAGGTGCTCGGTGCTATGAGGCCCGGTGCATTGGCAGGTATCTACACAGGACGCCAGTGACACCCAAGGGCTGCTGACTGTTCCGTGAAATGTTTACTTGACTTTTTCCTTTAGTTTTAAAAGATGTAATTGCACTTCACTTGGGTTGTAACATTTAAGTGCATCTCAGTGTTCGCCTGGTAAGAGAAAAGTCATCAAGCATGACCCAGAAGCACAGAAAACGGTCCCAAGGTCATGGGCACGGAGCCTTGCTCTATGTGGCAAGCGCAGGTGCTCACTCCTTCTTACTGCTCTGGGTTGCCAGCCTGGCTTGCCTTCTGAAATTCTGCACAGGCGTTCTGGGAGATGGGAGGAAGATTATTTGCAGTTCGCCCTTGATAAACACCCTTGAATTGGCAGAATCTCTGCTCCAAGAAAAAGTTGTTCAGCATATCGCAAAGGACGGATGCATTCTGCTCTTGGACCTAAGGCCAAGCAGGAGACTCTGTGATGGGACAGAGGGAGAATAAACTTTAGGTCTATGACTCATTCTCCATCTGCCAACAATAAAAATGGTTGACCCAACCGCATCATTTATTCTCACAGGATCAAACAAGGCTATCGTGCTTACTCAGAATTCACTTCAAGATCAACTAAAAAGCTACTTGACTGAGCCAAAGAGGCCTTTAGTTTCATAGGATTTGGGCCATAGTTCTTCTGAAATGTAGGCTGAGTTTTTCATGAATTCTCTGGACCATTCACCACATTTCCATGGCTTTGTGGCAAAGGGGACAATCACAGGTTTCAGTTAGATTAGAGCACTGTTTAAAGGCTTGAACTTGGAGCCTATTAGAGGTACCACTGTGGTTTCATGGGCCCACAAGATACTCTTAGGGTTGGAGAGAGAAGTCAAGATGGAACTGATGGAAGGGATGATAAATGATGGTGGATTAAATTTTAAATTAATGGCAGACCAGAGAGGATCATGCCAAAAACTATTACGTATATGCTGTATGAGACCGCTAATAATTAAGTTTAGTCATTTCCTCAGCACTGAGTCCAGACCCCTGAATTCTTGAGAAGAGTTAAGCCACAGTCCGAACCCAGGATTTTTATATAAACTCAAAGAAAACACAAGATCTGAGCCCAGGTCATGATCAATCTTAAGAGTCCTAGTTCTTCTTTCATGCCCTCACGTTCACATCACAAAGTGGATATTTCTGGTCAAGAAGATGATATGGTGGAGCATTCTGGAATGAAATGCAGTTTCGTGGTGGGTCAGGATTTTGTTTCTGAATCCTGCCATAAGAAAGTGTCCTCCAAAGAGACATGATTACAACCTGGCAAGAAAGCTTAGTGCTAAGCTAATGGTGGAGAAGCAGAAGTTGTTACAACTGAAATGAAATGGTTTCTTTTCATGGAAGCACTAGGGCTACACAAAATCAGGCCATCTTACCGAATGAGTTCGTGCCCCGGGTGCAGTTTTTGTAATGTTCTCTGTTGGCCGACTGCAGTTTTTTACTGGGAGGTTCTGGGAAATGGAACAGGCTAACGAGTGGGGCACAACCATGAGACTTCTCTCTTGTGGCTTTGCAGCTAAGTGACCCTGTGCTACATCTGCCTTGGTTTCTTAATCTGGAATAAAGATGTTGTCTGCTACTTTAGTGATGTTCTGCACACCTTGGTGGACTAGCTTCCCAAAATATCAGGCTCCTGATGATTAAAGTAAATGCCTCATACTCAGGGGGGTACCCAGTTCCGGTAATTCTTCCTTGTGTGGCATGTGTGAAGAAATGCCATTTGGGTTCATTGCTCAAAAGTGTGGTGGGGGATGAGGGAACTGGCGCCTTTAGTAATCCACAGAACGAGATGCGTGTAGCTGCATGAAATCAGCCGATGCCCACTTGAGTTCCTGGGAGGTGGGCTTTCCCAAGTGCATGCCAAACAGTCATGTTATGCCACAAGGGAATGAATAGAAACTGATAACATCAAATGTCCTGACAGGAAGTTTGTTCTGTATGGCACAGAACGTGGTTGTCCCTCAAAATTCTACCACCTTTCCAGTCCTCCTTGGCCCTCTGCCTCAGATGGCTTCCTAGTATTTGCCATCATCACTTTGTCACTCACAAATGTTACCTTGGATACACAGGAGTGAACTGGTTGGGGGATAAGTGATTTAGCTGGAAATGGACCCTAATTCCAAGTGATCATGAACAGCTCTTTACTACCTACTACCCCAGGAGATGTATGACCGCCTTATCTTCTGGCTTCCCTGGCTTCCTACTAGAAATATTGACAATGGCCATTGATGTTGTTGAAATAGCAGTCTTAAAACACTATAAAAATATTCTAAGAGAACTCTTTCGATCCTGCAGTGGATATAGTGTTCTAGTCTTTTCTCCAATGAAACTTATTCTTAGGGTTTTTCAGACTCCTTTCTAAGCTACATAGTTTGGATACAATATTTTTCTTCTCTTCACTGGGAACTCAATTCCACAGTCTATTGAGATAACCTCATCAGTAGTCAAGAGGCATTTTCCATCTCATTCCTTCTGATCTCCACAGAAGACCACTTTCTACTCTTGTCTCCTGGCCATCCTTTATCATCTGCCGATTACTATAAATAACAATGCTGGCAAAACTTACACAAAAAGGCACAACGTTTTCAATGATGCCCAAATGCACTCTTACCACTAAGGTTATTGCTCTGTACTGTCCCAAAGGCATAATTCTGCCCCCCCCACCCCCCACCGCCACACACAGAATCTGATTGGAACCCAGAACTCGGGGCCAGTGCTTCATTCAAATAGCAGGAGCTTGCTCACAAGCTTGTAGCCCAATGAGAAGCATAGCACTTTGAAGTCAAACAGGCCTTCAGTCGCTTTGTATATTTGCAGTTTTATATTTGCTATTAGTTTATAGCACTAATAACACTGCGGTCATGAATCTATAGTATCAATATGATAAATATTAGAACATATTCTAGACACAGTGGTACCTTGCTGCTATTGTACTTCCTAATTTATGCCCCAGTGTTAATAAGTATCACATACAGATTGTGTATGCATTGTTTGTACTGGATATATGCCAACTATAATCAGCACTTAGAAAATACAGAGATTATCATAGTGAAAATACGTCTTGGTCAATTCAGATGATATATTAATCTGATAAATACTCTAGTAGATATTATGTTTGTCCTCTAGGCTTGTTTTATATTACAGTGCATGCTGTTTGCTAAGTTAAGTAAAAAAATAATAATAAATTGTACCAATTTTAAGGTTAGAGTTAAAATTTTACGTATATGCTGCTTGGTACTCTGAAATGTATTTTGTGGCTTAATTATCTTATTCACACACATTTCACTTGGCTTTTCCCCCCTAGGAAATCATTATCCAAATATTTCTCTCCTTCTTATAACCTGGATCATACTGCTTAATTCAGCCTAAAACATTGTAAAGCCAGATTACCTCATTTTAACTGTGAAAAAAAATTTAATAGATATGACATGATGTCTTTTCTTGTATTTTATTTGAACTACCTAAATAGGCCTAAGCCCAATAATAAATATAAAACTTCAGCAGGCACTTTTCCTTGATTCTACGTGCATTTTATTATCGGCCCACTTCTAATTTTTTTAAAGGCTATAGGCTCAGCGTCAATAAGATGACTTATCATACGATATTGGGTGAGGAATCCATGGGAGTTGGCTGACCATGCCCGCAGTCCCCAAGATGAGCATGAAATGTGCGCACAGCCTTGTCACCCATGCCTTTCCGAGCTTCACCCCCCAACACTTCAGCTGTTTCTCGCAGGCTTGGGCCAGGTCCTCCTGGCCTCCATATTCTCACCCAACCACCATCTCCAGCCCATGTTACTCTGAGCGACTGCCAAATGCCCGGAGATAGAACAAGGCAGGGATTATGTGTTTGTCCGCACACAGAGTCAATAATGAGAGGGTGTCCAGGCCCTGTTGGCAACAAAGATTCCAGTATTTTCCTCATTCTTAATTCTTTTTAGTAGAATAGCAGAGCCCACTTAATTTCAGTGAATTTCTCTTTTTGCCCTCTGCTTTACAAAAATAATGGGTTGAGGTGAAAGTCCTGTGTATGAATTTAGTAGAGATGAAATTAATTCCATGTTATTCATTTCATATAGTTGAATGTTACAACAGCTAATTAGGGATAATCACATGTAGCAATTGAAGAACAAGGTAAAAGTCAGATTTTTCACCTGTATTTTAGTTAGTGTCTAGTAAATCTAC